TCCTACCCTGCGAATTTCGAGCCCCGGGACGCCCCGTTGCTTAGAACAAAGCGATAGAGTAAAATTGTTCCCCTGCGCTGTGCTGGGACAGCTCGCAGGGGAGCTCGTGGGTGATTCCCGTTTATATCATTAAGCAGAGGTTCAAACTCCAGTCCGAACACCACTGGCCACAAGCTTTGGGCTCTGCTCTCACGGATAATATTTATTTATATAGCATATTTTATTTTAGATGAACTAGAAACAATGTTTAATTTATTTTGAAATGTAAGTCAATAACAATTGGCTGGAGCCAGAGCCAATGGTGAAAGTCTTTGCGGGAGGAGACCCCGCCCCATTTTGGAGGTTCTGCCCACTTTTGGAGTTCACGCCCCATTTTGGAGATCTCCGGTCTGCAGTTATATCTACTTGGTTCCGTTGGGGTACCTAGCACAGCAAAGGGTACCAAAAGGGTGGAGCTAAACTCACCACAGTACGTTGATTGGTTGACTAGAATCGTCACTTTTGCGTGATACAAGGGGATAAAGCTTCTCCTTCACTCGTGAGTGTTGGACTTATTTACATCAGAGTGCACAAAAACACAAAAAAATATAACCGTGTATTTTATAATTTCACACAGACAATAGCCGTTGCTCAATATTATCTTGTCTGTTCTTGTGAAACGTCATTGCCCAAACACCCGCGCAATTTTCTAAATATTATAACTGTTATTGTGTCACAAAATGTAGTTTTAAGAGTTTTTCAGGCAAGAATGTAATTGTTTAAAACTCAAATCTGTGGTTTATTTATAAAGATAGCGCCTATTTGAAAATTTGCTATGCCGATTTCAGAGCTCCATGCGATCACCGGGCGCTCAGTGCTCATGTATCCGCCGAGAGCAGCCTTAGCTCGGCTAGTCCTTCTGACATTTGCCGCTAGCTCTGATGTCTCTGTAGTGATTAAACATGAGATACAATTCGTTTTGAGTTGGCTATATTTAACAGGCATTCGTGGTCTCATGAATCTATTATTTGTTCCAGTGTCATTGTGTCGCCTGCCAATGACGTCATAACCCCTCGATTTCCGGTTTTGTTTTGT